GTTATGTAGTCAGTCACAACGACGTTGAGTTCATCAAGACTTGCAGTGAGAGCGTCCCACAGCGTGCAGTCGAAGCAACCTCTGTTATGTAGTCAGTCACAACGTCGTTGAGTTCATCAAGACTTGCAGTGAGAGCGTCCCACAGCGTGCAGTCGAAGCAACCCCTGTTATGTAGGCAGTCACAACGTCGTTGAGTTCATCAAGACTTGCAGTGGATTCACGAAGAGTGTCCCACAGCGTGCAGTCGAAGCAACCTCTGTTATGTAGTCAGTCACAACGTCGTTGAGTTCATCAAGACTGCAGTGGATTCACGAAGAGTGTCCCACAGCGTGCAGTCGAAGCAAACCTCTGTTATGTAGTCAGTCACAACGTCGTTGACTTCATCAAGACTTGCAGTGGATTCACGAGGAGTGTCCCACAGCGTGCAGTCGAAGCAACCTCTGTTATGTAGTCAGTCACAACGTCGTTCAGTTCATCAAGACTTGCAGTGGATTTACGAAGAGTTTCCCACAGCGTGCAGTCGAAGCAACCTTTGTTATGTAGTCAGTCACAACGCCGTTGAGTTCATCAAGACTTGCAGTGGATTCATGAAGAGTGTCCCACAGCGTGCAGTCGAAGCAACCTCTGTTATGTAGTCAGTCACAACGCCGTTGAGTTCATCAAGACTTGCAGTGGATTCACGAAGAGTGTCCCACAGCGTGCAGTCGAAGCAACCTGTGTTATGTAGTCAGTCACAACGCCGTTGACTTCATCAAGACTGCAGTGGATTCACGAAGAGTGTCCCACAGCGTGCAGTCGAAGCAACCTCTGAGTTGATTGATGGAGTCTTCTGACCACACTTTCACAGTTTTGTTTTGCCCCATGTGTTTTCAGTGCCCAGTGGCTGTTTCCAGGGAAGTAACGTAAGGATAAATATTGTAGTACTTCTTTGGTTTTCATCTTCTTCTTCCCTTCAGTGAGTGAGTGAGTGAATTAAAAGTCACATAGACGATATTTCAGCCATATCGTAACGACAGAAATGCCTTAATTAAGAATAACTGTTAGAATACATAAAAAAGCTGCCACAACTAGATTATCACATGTTCTTAAACTAGTTTGTGAGCCAATAGACCGATCCAGTCTGTCAATCAAAACTGGCGCATGCGTCAATTTTGGCCAATCAGCAGGCCGGGTGCGCTGTGTGGATTTGTCAGACTTATTTCCGGGGTCAAACGATGCCTTCGAAGCGATGTGCTTTGAATTATGCCATTTACACTCGCTATATCGATTACATATTGCTGTGATTTGATGTGTCCCTTTAACAAAACCATTACGATCAAGACAAAAAAATTGAGGCGGATCAAGGAATGCGATAGGCCTAACGAAAAGGTAAATGTCTGCACCATCGTTCACGAAACCTACGTCTGCCTGCAGATGCGAATTTGCACGAATTTACACACTTTTGCACATGTGCAAAATCATTACCAATTGATGACAACAAATAGCAGTTTAGGATTTTGCAAGTGTTATAAACACGGACAATTCTTGTAACTACAAAATTGTTTTTGCTTCACGTTTTTAGTCACTACTGGGCATTGAGTTGGTACACCATAAACCTGAAATGAGACAGGTGAGAAAGCCGTGACACAATGTAAACAAATCTGACAGCGAGCTGATTTCGGTTAGGGTCGACCGAAATAGCAAAACTTGTTACATTAAAGAACAATGTGGTGGATATGGGTTGCATTCGCGATTAGATATTCTGAAACTTGTCACACATTTTAGGATGTTTTAAAGTTTCACAAGCACAATCTGAAGGCCTATGTACAGTACAGTATCTGTTGATAGTGCAAAATATTCGAAGAGTAATATTTTTTATGCAAACGGAAATATTGTCAGTGTCAGCAGTTGCCTATCACGCAATATCCAAACATCAAAATTAATTCATGAGTGTCTGTAAAACCATGTCTTAAATATTTCAGAATATCTATAAAGAGATGGGACCTTGAATTGATTTAGCTTTACTCAAATGTGAATCGGAGACGAAAACGAAAATGTCAGAAGAATAGTGACTTTCTGGAATATCGGACAGAGTGAAATATAAGTTTATTTCCTAACTATTGAGAACATTATTTGTTTTGATTTTTTTGTCACAGTATAATTTTTACTTGTAAGGTGGGGTTTGGGGTGGGGTGGGGGTACATTGGTACACTTTTAGAGTAATAACATAGTTCTGTCATTTTAATTATTATTCACTGGAAATGATAGCAAGGTATGTTTTAAGAATCTTGCCTCCTCCAGGAAACGTGGAAAGGTAATAAAATAGATAATACTCCAATCAATTATTAATAATTACTTAACTGTCTCACATATCAGATTCATGTGAAGTTAAGGCAGAACTAGGCAAACAAACCCTATATACATATCATGGCTGAACAAACACTTGGTACTAAGATAGCTAGTTTGTTTTAAGTTATATTTGGTCTTTAAATAATATGTTTATTCAGAGAGTGACTCATAATAAAGTTATTTCAACATCCAGAGAATTTGAAAGAAAAACAAAGGCTACGTTTTTGGTCACACCCAGGCATTATTCAGTCATGGAACCAAGTAACTTACAGAATTCTAAGTTGACTGTTCATGTAACTGGAATGGATATTGAAACATGACATTCAACCCCGATTTCATGTAATACTTCTTAGAATTCATCAGCTTGTGAGGAGGTTACCAATATTTGAAGACTGAGCCAAAGTAGTGTTTTTTAAGATGTTGTTTTTTGGACAAATTGTTCAAGGTTTGTTGGTGCTTATTTGGAAAATAGGCTTAAATTCATATTAAAATGCACACTGGTTTAATTGCAGGAGGTGAAAGCTTCAGGACATTTTCATGTATGTTTTCCTAAACTTTTGTTATGACTTTTACCAAATTTTTAAGCAACTATGATATAGTTTGATGACACTAGTAAGTATCTCAGGAAAGGAAATAGATCAGAATTAGTGTTATTTCCCTAAGGGATATGGTCTCAGATCTAATAAAACAAAGATTATCATTGTCTAAGAAGCAATAATGTCAATATGTAATTTTATTGACAAATAGCTTTAAACTTTGAATATATTCTTTGCCTCTTGTTTACAATAGTAGTTAGCAGTTAAATATCTCTAAAGAAAAAGCAGTATATTTGTATGTTGTGTAACATTCTGTTTCAATGCTAGTTAATTGTACGGATAACTGTGGATCCTCTGTTCAAAGATTTTGCATCACACGTTTCCTATTTATGGAAGATGTGTCAGTGTACAGGTGCAGACTGTATCTTGGATTCTTTGTGTTTATGGTGGTGTGACATACCTGTAGATAAATGCTGGCAGTTCACGAAGTCCATTATAGTGGAGGTTTGTAGATTAGGATTCCATAACAAAGTACACATAGAAAAATAAATTGGAAAGGATTATTTAAAAAATGGATTTCCTTATATTCAGTGTCATTTTAGGATGGTGTACAGATTTGGAAGAGAGAAATTTTACTGAAAATAGCTGCAGATTATCTGCTGAATATTTGCTTCTTGGTATGTCCAGATACATCCAGGGAAACATACTGTGTTAACAGGTCCAGTAACGTTTTCCAGATAATATATATACAGACAAACAAGGTGGACGAAGTAGTAGACCGGGATACTGCTTTCCTTCGTTGTCCCTTGAAAGGTAGAAACCTAAGTTTTCTCAGACTTAAAGCTGAACAACGGATAAATAAATAAAGGTGGCACGCGCAGTTTTGACAATTTATTTTATAGATACCGGAACGATCTGTAACTTGAACATGTGGTTGTGTTCACGGTTTTTATAATATTACGATGGGAATTTTTGAGAAAAGAACAACAAACATAATTCAGTTACCTTTCCCCTGCTAATATGTTAGACGAACGTGAATTGCCGGATCGATTATTTGGTAGAAAATACGCTTCCCAGTCTTTTTTCATCGGGCATGTATATCTAACTACTTTTTCACTCGCCAATTATACAACCTGTCAACTAAAATATATTGAAAATAAAATACGTATAACTTTCCTTTTAAAATATCATTCACAAACGACGGATACCAAAGTACAACAAGCATAATTCATCAACAACATTCGCAATCACGTACGTTTCGCCGGCGGTGACGCCATTGTGATTAGTCCGTGGTTGTCCCCCCTAACGTTAAAAACGAAGTGGACGGGGCTTATCGGCCGGGACTGGATCGGTCTATTGACGAACACTGTTTAAAATGGGGCTAAAGATCGCAAGCAACAGAGCCAGGTCACAATTGGATTTATACCACCCCTTCAGCTGCTAGTGGGATCCTTTAGCCATATATATGATATATATACATATATTCATTCTATCTTGGCAGTTATTACCCTGCCACTTAATGAAAACAATCAAAACTTATCTGACCTGTACTTCACACAAGCCAGTACGAAAAACCCAGTTTGAACATGATAAACACTTTTCAGAAAATAGACAATTATTCTTACCTGTAATCCGGCCTATTCAGACAACTTCTTTGAGAGGCATGTTCTATGGGTAGTCAGCTTCTTTATTGCAATGAATTGGGCGTTTAGATGTAGGTGCTAACACGTCCAGCTACGTTCATTGTTATTTCTGTTTTGAATTCTGGTTGTCGAATTTTCCAACCCAGTGAAATTAAACAAGACTTGATTTCATTTGATGGTCAATAGGTCGACATAATACAGTAAAGAATGGATGGTAATTGTGTGTTAGATTCTTCAGGTAAACTCGAGAAGATCCGGGTTAGAATTGATCTTCAGCAACTCCTGCTTGTCGTAAGAGGCGACTAACGAGATCGGGTGGTCAGACTCGCTGACTTGGTTGACGCATGTCATCAGATCCCAATTGCGTAGATCGATGCTCATGCTGTTGATCACAGGATTGTCAAGTCCAGACTAGATTATTTACAGACCCCCGTCATATAGCTGGAATAGAGCTAGTACGGCGTAAAGCTAAACTCACTCACTCACTCTTCAGGTAACTTCACGAAAGATGTCTTGTCAGACGAAATGGGCTTCAAGACCTGGGTGATACAAGCCTTGGTAGCCTACCTCTCTGTGTCACCTCTCCGCATCTCCAACATAGATGTAAGTAATTAATATTACCTTCATACATCCCGTGTTGGTATTCCAGGTCTGATGATGTTCTTAACGTAGATACCATCGACCTATGTTCCTGGAGTAGATACCATCGACCTATGTTACTGCAGTAGATACCATCGACCTATGTTCCTGAGTAGATACCATCGACCTATGTTCCTGGAGTAGATACCATCGTCCTATGTTCCTAGAGTAGATACCATCGACCTATGTTCCTAGAGTAGATACCATCGACCTATGTTCCTGGAGTAGATACCATCGACCTATGTTCCTAGAGTAGATACCATCGACCTATGTTCCTAGAGTAGATACCATCGACCTATGTTCCTAGAGTAGATACCATCGACCTATGTTCCTGGAGTAGATACCATCGACCTATGTTCCTGGAGTAGATACCATCGACCTATGTTCCTAGAGTAGATACCATCGACCTATGTTCCTAGAGTAGATACCATCGACCTATGTTCCTAGAGTAGATACCATCGACCTATGTTCCTAGAGATACCATAGATATGTTCCCATCGACCTATGTTCCTAGAGTAGATACCATCGACCTATGTTCCTAGAGTAGATACCATCGACCTATGTTCCTAGAGTAGATACCATCGACCTATGTTCCTAGAGTAGATACCATCGACCTATGTTCCTAGAGTAGATACCATCGACCTATGTTCCTAGAGTAGATACCATCGACCATCGACCTATGTTCCTAGAGTAGATACCATCGACCTATGTTCCTAGAGTAGATACCATCGACCTATGTTCCTAGAGTAGATACCATCGACCTATGTTCCTAGAGTAGATACCATCGACCTATGTTCCTAGAGTAGATACCATCGACCGATGTTCCTGGAGTAGATACCATCGACCTATGTTCCTAGAGTAGATACCATCGACCTATGTTCCTAGAGTAGATACCATCGACCTATGTTCCTAGAGAGTACCATCGATACCATCGAGATACCATCTATGTTCCTAGAGAAGATACCATCGACCTATGTTCTAGAGTAGATACCATCGACCTATGTTCCTAGAGTAGATACCATATGTTCCTAGAGTAGATACCATCGACCGATGTTCCTGGAGTAGATACCATCGACCTATGTTCCTATACCATCGACTATGTTCCTAGAGTAGATACCATCGACCTATGTTCTAGAGTAGATACCATCGACCTATGTTCCTGGAGTAGATACCATCGACTATGTTCCTAGAGCAGATACCATCGACCTAGAGTAGATACCATCGACCTATGTTCCTAGAGTAGATACCATCGACCTATGTTCCTGGAGTAGATACCATCGACCTATGTTCCTAGAGTAGACCATCGATGTTCCTAGAGTAGATACCATCGACCTATGTTCCTAGAGTAGATACCATCGACTATGTATGAGTAGATACCATCGACCTATGTTCCTGGAGTAGATACCATCGACCTATGTTCCTGAGAGATACCATCGACCTATGTTCCTAGACCTATGTTCCTATCTATGTAGAGAGATACCATCGACCTATGTTCCTGGAGTAGATACCATCGACCTATGTTCCTGGAGTAGATACCATCGACCTATGTTCCTGTTACCATCGAGTAGATACCATCGACCTATGTTCCTATGTTCCTAGAGTAGATACCATCGACCTATGTTTGTTCCTCGACCTTTGAGAAGATACCATCGACCTTTGTTCCTAGAGTAGATACCATCGATCCTATGTTCCTAGAGTAGATACCATCGACCTATGTTCCTGGATTAGATACCATCGACCTATGTTCCTAGAGTTGATACCATCGACCTATGTTCCTAGAGTATATACTATCGACCTATGTTCCTAGAGAAGATACCATCGACCTATGTTCCTAGAGAAGATACCATCGACCTATGTTCCTAGAGTAGATACCACTGATCTATGTTCCTAGAGTAGATAACCATCGACGTATGTTCCTAGAGTTGATCCAAAACGACCTTTCTGCTTAGAGTTGATCTCCATCAACCAATGTTCCTTGAGTAGATTTCCATCAACCAATGTTCCTTGAGTAGAACCCTAGTGGACCAGAGTCAAAGTACAGTCATCATTGTCAGGAGGTCCACAGCGACAATTTCATCATCATGATCATTATTATAATTATTATTACGTCTTGTCACATAATCATTACCATCATCATAATCATTATGACGTCTTCTCAGGTGGACCACAGCGACAAGTACATAAAGGTGGCGTTCTACCTCCTGGGCCCGACCCCTTTCCAGGGCGACATCCCTAACTTCCCCAACCAGATTCCCTTAGCCACTGCGGTACAGTCCCTCACGAACGGCATCAAACAGAGCCAGTTGACCGTCACTATTGAGATGGGGGCGAACATGAACGTGAGTACTGGTGTTTCATTTCATTACGGAGCAACTTTTTGAAGAATTCGTGGTACGGTGCTTCTTGGTCGACAATACCTGCTGAAGCTTGTAGTCTCTTTATGCCTAATGATCACTGTAGGATTATGACGTCTCTGACCCCGAGGTCATGCGAATTTGCAATCTCAGCCAGTATTCCAGATTCACAGTCACCGAACTGGCACATGCTCTACACTGCCGGGCGAAAGAAAGTGTACACTTTAGAATTGGATTTGATTTGGAGCGCTGTCAAAATCTACTAGGCAGGAAACAGTCACCAAGATCCTTTAAACGTAAGGGGCGGTGGAGTAGCCTTGTGGTCAAAGCGTTCGCTCTCCACGCGGAACAACCAGGTTCGATTCCCCACATGAGTACAATGGCTTTCCATTTCTGGTTTCCCCTGCTGGAATTTTGGTAAAAGCTGCGTCTCCCTACGATGTTTCCGACCTTGCATTCTTCTGTCACAGCAATTTCGGCAAAAGTCTCCTAGGACTCTATACTTGTTATCGATATATTTTAGTTTTGTCTTCGAAAATATGTATTTTGGTCTTGTAAATCAAATGATTTTTTCTGCTGCTGTGTTTGATGCATTGGATACGTATGTCTTGAATGTGCCTGATACGCATGCGTTATATGGCTTTCTATGGCTCTATTACATATCTTGGCCCATGTTCTCAAAGCGATCATAGTGCTAGGAATATTAAGACCGGATTATGCCCAGATCATCGTGATTGGTATTGACTACGTGTATTGCACGTATGTACACGCATTGAGCGAGAGTGAGTGAGTTGGGATTTACGCCGCTTTCAGCAATATTTCAGCAATATCACGGCGGGGGACACGAGAAATTGGCCTCACCCATTGTACCCATGTGGGGAATCGAAACCTGGTCTTCGGCGTGACGGGCTAACGCTTTAACCACAAGGCTACCCCACCGCCCCACATGTATTGACTAACAGGTCTGGAAAATCGTGTATCAACCCATCGTAGGACTACGTATATTGTACTGCTACGAACATACGTTGAGGTACACATTTAAGAGATATATTTAACTTGGGTAAACGAACTGGAGGAATACTACTCTTAAAACAGTTAAGAGTTTTTGTAAACTTACGTAGATGTATCGGGGTGATAGTTTTACGACAGACAGACACATGAAGGATGTCGTGGCACTAACCTTACATAGAATAAATCTTCGAATATAATGTTCTGGAGCAGACAGTACGACAACGACGAACTGGAGTCTCTGTAAAAAAGAGATCTAGCCTTGGGTCCGTCATTGAGGCACATTATGACGATCTTAGTGAATCGCCCGTCGTAAGCTAAGCTAAGACGGTTCAGTAAAATACATACGACCAATAGCATCTTAGTGCCGCGCCTGTCAATGTAAAATTGAATATTTTTCAGAGGTATGTTATTTTTAATTGATGTCTCTTGTTGCACAATGCGACCAATGTCATGTACAATATTCCAGGTGATCCGTCTGACTGCGATCCCGTACTCGGACAAGCTCTGGGGCTTTACGCCGATGACGGCGGCTCAACCCGTCACATCGCAGCCGGATGATGAACCTGAGGATGACCCTGTGCCGGAAGTCGACCCAGCACTACCCGAGGTGGAGCCCAGGATTTACAAACGATCTGTGCCTCGCCGCGGGCTCAGGTTGAGCGCAATTGAACTGTGTGAGGCACCCGCCGAGGGATACAGCGGGGGTATGTTTTTCTGCTGTGCGAGTCTGGGGCAGATTATCCAGTGATTGATAGTATACTCATGCCAATAATGGTTGTCACCCCCCTCCCCACCCCAACCCCACACACACCTCACACCCCCACCCCATCTCGTCACGCCGAAGACCCGGGTTCGATTCCCCACATGGGTACAATGTGTGAAGCCAATTTCTGGTGTCTGCTGCTGTGATATTGCTGGAGTATTGCTAAAAACGGCGTAAAACTAAACTCATTCACTCGCTCATTCTTTCAAATCTGTTCATTGAATATATCCAGATATAGTATGTCATTACCTTATTTCATGAACCATTCTTTGTTGGACCGTTCTCCACGATAGTGCGTGTATATGTGTAAACTTGTTCTTGTCGCTATTTGGTTGAAATAATGTCAATGCGACATTATATTTTGGACAAATTCAAGGCTTCAACTTTCGCGTCTTTCCTCAGTTGATCTATTTGATTTAACTTTGAATAATTTGGAGCCATAGAATGGACGCCACATTAATCTTGTTCATTTTCAAGCTGATTCAGATTGTCACACACACAAACATTGGTTATTTCCGAGAAGGGATGGGGAGGTAAATTATGGAGTCGTATTTTTTTTCTTCATTTTATTCAAAGGCTTTCTGGTAATGCCATTGCGTTTGTATATTTGGTTATTTGCATAACAACTCATTTACCAATTCCCCAGCTGTATGAAAGATGGAAGAAGTTAAGAGAGGTTAAGAAAAGAGAGGACGTGGATGAGGGGAGGGAGGTGATTCGGAGCGTGCGCTGACCCGTGAAGATCCGAGTTAGAATTGATCTTCAGCAACCCATGCTTGTCGTAAGAGGCGACTAACGGGATCGGGTTGTCAGGCTCGCTGACTTGGTTGACACATGTCATCGTATCCTAATTGAGTAGAACGATGCTAATGTTGTTGATGACTGGATCAATACTACTTAGTGCGGCGTTAAACACCAACCAACCAACTGTAAGTAAACGCCACGCACCAAGCTACAAACCCTACCTAACACCTTTTGGGATTTGTTTCAGGCGCACTGGCCGGGATTGCCATTGGAATGTTGACTCTGGGCTTCCTCGTATGTTTCGGGGCAATATTGCTTGGATCCAAATATGGCCGAAGAGCTGCTCGTAGTCAGGGCTACGAAATGCAGTGAAGCATCCGAGTGTAATTCCATCATTCATCTTGTGTCGTATTATGTCAGCAATCAACCCCCGAGATGTATTGACTTCGTTACGTGTTGAAGGGTGGTCATTGTGGAACATGAGCCGATAACAGTGGGCACAATACAGGTTTTACCAGTAGGATACCACACATTATAGCAGCTAGTCAAACATGGGTTTACCACGAGGATACGACGCATTATGCCAGCAAGTCAAACATGGGTTTTACAAGTAGGATATGACACATTGTAGCTGCCAGTCAAACACGGGTTTACCAATAGGATACGACACATTACACCAGCAAGTCAAACATGGGTTTTACAAATAGGACAAGACACATCATAGCAGCAAGTCCAACATGGATTTACCAATAGGATACGACAAATAACACCAGCTTGTAAAACATGGGTTTTACCAATAGGATAAGACACATCATAGCAGCAAGTCCAACACGGATTTAGCAATAGGATAAGACACATCATAGCAGCAAGTCCAACATGGTTTTACCAACCGGACACGACAAATAACACCAGCTAGTCAAACATGGGTTTTACCAATAGGATTTGACAAAAAACACCAGCTAGTCAAACATAGGTTTACTAGTAGGATACGACGCATTATGCCAGCACGTCAAACATGGGTTTCACCAATAGGATTCGACAAAAACACCAGCTAGTCAAACATAGGTTTACAGTAGGATACGACGCATTATGCCAGCACGTCAAACATGGGTTTTACCAATATGCCAGCACGTCAAACATGGGTTTTACCAATAGGATTCGACAAAAAACACCAGCTAGTCAAACATAGGTTTACTAGTAGGATACGACAGATTATGACAGAACGTCAAACATGGGTTTTACCAACAGGATGCCACACATTATACCGGAAAGTCAAAAACGTGTTTAATAAATAAGATGTAAAATACATTATACCAATACGATATAACTTTTATACCAGCGGGGCTATAAACACGTTGTACACATAGAATACAACCAACACAACACTGGCAGAATATAACGCACGTCATACAAACAGAATACAGCCTTATTATATCAACCGCATACAACAGATTATACCAGCAGAGCACAACTCACGTAATAAATGTAGGATACAGCTCATGTATCATGTAAACCCACGTTATCCAAGCAGAACTATACTCAGCAGCAAAAAACCAACAACGTCAGTACGAATTCAAAATTAGATAGGCACTGTAATCAAATCATTACAGAAATGGACATAATAAGCGAATCGCAAATCTTTTTTGTGTACAATATCTTGACACATCAATGAATAACTCAGCGACATTACGTGAACGTTTGCAGTCCATTCAGACTCTAGACTTCAGTATCTAGTGTGACCACCACGAGCGGCAATAACTGCAGCGCAGCGTCTATGCATGGAGTGCACCAATCGATTGATAAAGGCCATTGGCACCTGGAACCACACTCTGAGAAAGGCTTGGCGCGATGGGTTAACAGTTATCCGTTTCTGCGAAGGAAAATTCCAAACTGGCGTTTCTTTTGCTGCTTAGTATACAAGATAGTGGACATACTCCCCTCATGACATTGAATGTTCCCCAAATCCCATTTTCTACGACACATCTCTAATACTCTTTCATTGCATGTATGCAAACTTGAAGCCTTGTAAACAATTGAACAATTCCTAAGTTTTCCCGACATTTGTATATATGAACATAAAACTCCAATGAATAACAATAAACAAATATCAACTGTGACATCCCAGTTTGTTCATATTTTTTCAATTATTATCGGCCACTTAGTTTGGTTTGATTTATTTCTCACATAAAATACTTCATTTCGTTAATTTTAATTCCACAGACTTTCCGTCTTTGCATAGGTGTACATGGAAAAAAATATTCTTGGCCATCTGGGTAAAACAATGATTATTTCAGAATAGCTCAACTGACCCATTTGATTTTGGGATCAGTTTATAGTCCGTTTGGCTCTAAACGGACCGATGAATTGCAATCTAACTCTAAAACTACTAAACATTTAATACTCAATGAAACACTGACCATGACCAGTAAAAATAGAAAAAAGATGTTTAACAAACTATCATAAAACGTTTGATAAAGTTCACTATTTGTTACGAGGGAGGGCTGCAAAGAGAGGAACAGCCAGGTGTACGTGGAGCACGTGCACAAGTGCCGACAAAGCTATTGAGTCATTTACCTGTGCTGTGCCGTCTCCATCCTTTCTCGCGTACCTATATACTTTAAGTGAGGGAGGGAGTAAATAATAACTAAAGTGGCCATTCTTCTATAGTACTAAATATAACAAGAGTGTGTGAGTGAGTTTAGTGTTATGCCACACTAAGTAACATTCCAGCTATATGGCGGCGGTCTGTAAATAATCGAGTCTTGACCAGACAATCCAGTGATCAACAGCATGAGCATCGATCTGCGCAACTGGGAACCGATTACATGTGTCAACCAAGTCAGCGAGCCGGACAACCCGATCCCGTTAGTCGCCTCATACGACCAGCGTGTGTTACTGAAGATCAATATTCTAACCCGGACATTCACGGATAAACAAGAGGTTACAAAGAACTAACTACGAGCAGTTCCGTATTCGACCATTTCCATTCACATGTACATATGAGTGAATGCGTGAGAGAGTGAGATTTTACGCCGCTTTCATCAACATTCCAACAACATCACGGTGGGTGGACACCTCAAGTGATCTTCACACTTTGTACCCGAACTCGCGTCTTCAACACAGGCACCATAAGCCCGGTGGGTGGACACCTCAAGTGATCTTCACACTTTGTACCGAACCGCCTCTTCAACACAGGCACCATAAGCCCGGTGGGTGGACACCCCGGTGGGTGGACACCTCAAGTGATCTTCACACTTTGTACCGAACCCGCCTCTTCAACACAGGCACCATAAGCCCGGTGGGTGGACACCTCAAGTGATCTTCACACTTTGTACCGAACCCGCCTCTTCAACACAGGCACCATAAGCCCGGTGGGTGGACACCTCAAGTGATCTTCACACTTTGTACCGAACCCGCCTCTTCAACACAGGCACCATAAGCCCGGTGGGTGGACACCTCAAGTGATCTTCACACTTTGTACCGAACCCGCCTCTTCAACACAGGCACCATAAGCCCGGTGGGTGGACACCTCAAGTGATCTTCACACTTTGTACCGAACCCGCCTCTTCAACACAGGCACCATAAGCCCGGTGGGTGGACACCTCAAGTGATCTTCACACTTTGTACCGAACCCGACTCTTCAACACAGGCACCATAAGCCCGGTGGGTGGACACCTCAAGTGATCTTCACACTTTGTACCGAACCCGCCTCTTCAACACAGGCACCATAAGCCCGGTGGGTGGACACCTCAAGTGATCTTCACACTTTGTACCGAACCCGCGCCTCTTCAACACAGGCACCATAAGCCCGGTGGGTGGACACCTCAAGATCTTGATCTTCATAACTGGCTTTGTGATCTTCACACCGAACCCGCCTCTTCAACACAGGCACCATAAGCCCGGTGGGTGGACACCTCAAGTGATCTTCTTCACGCTTTGTACCCGGAACCCGCCTCTTCAACACAGGCACCATAAGCCCGGTGGGTGGACACCTCACAGTGAACTCCTCAAGTGATCTTCACACACTTCTGTACCGATCTTGGACACAAGTGATCTTCACACTTTGTACCGAACCCGCCTCTTCAACACAGGCACCATAAGCCCAGTGGGTGGACACCTCAAGTGATCTTCACACTTTGTACCGAAACCGCCTCTTCAACACAGGCACCATAAGCCCGGTGGGTGGACACCTCAAGTGATCTTCACACTTTGTACCGAAAACGCCTCTTCAACACAGGCACCATAAGCCCGGTGGGTGGACACCTCAAGTGATCTTCACACTTTGTACCGAACCCGCCTCTTCAACACAGGCACCATAAGCCCGGTGGGTGGACACCTCAAGTGATCTTCACACTTTGTACCGAACCCGCCTCTTCAACACAGGCACCATAAGCCCGGTGGGTGGACACCTCAAGTGATCTTCACACTTTGTACCGAACCCGCCTCTTCAACACAGGCACCATAAGCCCGGTGGGTGGACACCTCAAGTGATCTTCACACTTTGTACAGAACCCGCCTCTTCAACACAGGCACCATAAGCCCGGTGGGTGGACACCTCAAGTGATCTTCACACTTTGTACCGAACCCGCCTCTTCAACACAGGCACCATAAGCCCGGTGGGTGGACACCTCAAGTGATCTTCACACTTTGTACCGAACCCGCTTCTTCAACACAGGCACCATAAGCCCGGTGGGTGGACACCCAAGTGATCTTCACACTTTGTACCGAACCCGCCTCTTCAACACAGGCACCATAAGCCCGGTGGGTGGACACCTCAAGTGATCTTCACACTTTGTACCGAACCCGCCTCTTCAACACAGGCACCATAAGCCCGGTGGGTGGACACCTCAAGTGATCTTCACACTTTGTACCGAACCCGCCTCTTCAACACAGGCACCATAAGCCCGGTGGGTGGACACCTCAAGTGATCTTCCGAACACTTTGTACCGAACCCGCCTCTTCAACACAGGCACCATAAGCCCGGTGGGTGGACACCTCAAGTGATCTTCACACTTTGTACCGAACCCGCCTCTTCAACACGTGACCTGACATGAATGCATCATTCTGAAATTGCCATGGTAACTGTCTTAGTCTTAGTCTTAGCTAAGATTTTGCTGAGAGAGTTTCATGATCCAGTCTTATCTAAAAGCTTAGCTAAGCAAAATTGTTAAGACTTACGATTTTTTTGCGCAAATCATTAGACTAATTTCGTTCATGATCCCGGGGCCTGGCCTTGTATCCCTCTGTCTCGGCTGGTCAATAGTTGTAGACAGACAGACAGGCGTTTTATTTAAGTCTCACCTCACAAAAAATGGATAATACTTATAAATAATAACATAAAAGTGAGCCACCCTTTAAGGGTTATGAGAGATTTTAATATAATATGACATACTGTATTGTAAACACTAAAAATGAATGCTGATATAGTTATATACATAGAGAATACTACACGAGGTCTCATTACATACGAATTATACGAAACGAGTGTCCTTCCTATGGTATCTGACCGAGCGAAAGCGAGGGGTCGAATATAATATAGGAAGGTCACGTGTTTCGTATAATTCGTATGTAATGAGCTCCGAGTGTGGTATTTTATTTATTACCCACGTCTTACATGCATTAAAATTGACAAAATAGCGTATTTTTGTTATGTTTTTGGTTTCAAACCGAAACCGGTTTCATAAAGAGGTTGCGGAAGAGTTTTGTACTGTAGTACAATATTTGCATGACGTCACACTAATGACGTCACTGCCATGGTAACCGACGTCACGATGCATGTCAGTTGTCATCGCCTCGTACAGCCTCCTACAGTAAACTACTCCGTTGCACCTCGTTTCTTGGTTTCCAGTTGCTTCATTCGGCTAACATCACTGGTGGAAACATTGCGTTTATGTTTTTCGACGGATATAATGTCTCAGTTCGACTCACAATTAAACAGCGACACGGCAACGTTCGCAATGTTTACATTCCCACAATGCATTTAAGTTGTAGAATGAATGAATTCACGTGTTTGTTATGAATGAAAAAATAGTTACGTCAGAATGTGACCTTATTGAGAGGTCATCGGTTATCCAATCAAATCGTTAGAATTTCAGGTCAAGTCGTTACGACACAGGTCAACGCGATACGACACTCGTGTGACGTACGAGATTAATATGCAACTACCCATACGTTGACCACGTGGGTAATAAAATATGATATCTATCCATATATAATATGTTTTCTTTTTTTAAGATATAAAAGCAATTTTTGGCGGTCAAATATACACTGCCTTAAAAAAGTAAAACTAATTTATCATCATCACAGAGATCTAAGAATTTGGGATAGCTAAAACAGACATTTTCGCATCACCGCAAATCATCATGCAGCTTTGACTGACTGACTGACTGAATTTAGTTTTACGCCGCTTTTAGCAATATTCCAGCAATATCACGGCGGGGGACAGCAGAAATGGGCTTCACACATTGTGCCCATGTGGGGAATCGAACCCTGGTCTTCGGCGTGACGAGCGAACGCCTTAACCACTAGGTTACCCAACCGCCCCCATGTAGCTTTGAAGAAAATTGAATTTCCAAAGTATGTCAAAATATATTTCTGTCCGAAATGCCTGCTTGTACACCAATGCTGAAACAACTAATTTCGAATATTCGCATTTGTGCTGTTAATCCCTTCAGACATACATAACAGATATATGACACATTCTGCTGATTTGTTTCTCCGCTATTCTCCTAAACATCGCACACCTTGTTAGGCAGCATACTAACGAGCTCCGTGTTTCAAGCTTGAATACCAATAGAATGGCTTTTGACATTGTTCCACTTGGTCTGCAATTACAGGACGAAAAGTTCCTGGAACCTGTTGAGGATCCTCGAGGAGTTCATCTTGTCATGAGGTGTAAGTTTTAAATTTACAAAATATTATTTCTTGCCAGACCGATATCTAGTTTGTATACAATGTCATTTCCATGTCAACATGACCAAATGTAGGTCGTTTCATTTAGTCGTGTACCATTTAAATTATAATTTCTTGTAAATAAATTACATGGTCAGTTTGAAATGTCTGGAATAACTTATATGGAATGTTATTTGGATGGGGTGTAGTTACAATTAGTTATGTGCTGAATAACATGTATATGGCATGTTAGACCCACTGAATAGTTAAACGGTGAGGTGAGGTGAAATTTGGTTTAACGTCGTGCTGGAGAATATTTCGCTCATATGACGACGTGCATGCGTGTGTATGTGCTTGTACTAGCCCAGACTGACGCTGGTTTTATAGTGCTAGCCCACTGAGATACCATGCCGCAGTAAAGCATGAATACCCCACTCAGACACATTATACTGACTCCGAGCCGACCAGTCCTTGTTGTACCCATTAATGCCGAGCGCCAGGCAGGGACCAACAAGTACAATATTTTAACGTCTTTTTGGTATGACGCGGTCGAAGATCGAACCCGCGACCTTCCGCTCTCCGGGCGGACGCTCTAACCACTACACCGTGGAGGCGGTCGAATTGTTAAGCGAATGATACAGAGTGATATTCACTCGTGTTCATCTCTCTATACAAAAACTCTCCATACAGCAGTTTATTAAACAACCAAGCCGGGTATATTTTCCGACAAATCGTCTAGCAACGTTTGATCAAATTCCAAATATCAACACCAGGGAATATCCAAAACACGATCCTCAGATTCCAAAGATGGCAAATTAAATAACGATTATGACTGGATCACTGAAATTCAGAATAATTGTTTCTTTAACAAAGACACGCGCAGGCGGATTAAACGATTTCTTTGGTTAGGTTATGTAAACAGGTGGCGAATCACCATCTGAATTAAGAGAATGTCTGTGTTCGGTAATCAAGACAGAGTATTAAAGTCCACTTAACTTCAAAGATCTTGTAGGGGCGGTGGGGTAGCCTAATGGTTAAAGCGTTGGCTCGTCACTCCGATGACCCGGGTTCGAATCCCCACATGGGTACAATGTGTGAAGCCCATTTCTGGTGTCCCCGCCGTGATGTTGCTGGAATATTGCTAAAAGCGGCGTAAAACCAAACTCAGTCAGTCAGTCAAAGATCTTGTCGAAGATAATCTCTCGTTGCATACACTGTGTAACTTTCACAGGAAACTGTCCCCAATATGAAGTGTCCGCATTAAGAAATATCAGGATGAATAAACAACATTAATTAAACACAAAACTTTAATTATTTTATTAGACTGACTGACTGACTGAGTTTGGTTTTACGCCGCTTTTAGCAATATTCCAGCTACATCACGGCGGGGGGAACACCAGAAATGGGCTTCACACATTTTACCCATGTAGGGATTCGAACCCGGGTCTTCGGCGTGACGAGCGAACGCTTTAACCACTAGGCTACCCCACCGCTCCTATTTTATTAGAAATATATAGAGCTTCCTAATGGAAGACTTTTATGTTATCGATTACGAACTTTAATATTTCCATACTGCTATGTATATAAGTAGAATGAGTGAGTTAGCATTTAACCCTCGCTTAGCATTATTTCAGCCATGATACCACCAACTTTACACATGCATATGTATGTCCATTATAAATACAAAGTTATATCTGAAATGTTTTTATATACATATTCATGCACTACAATATCATTACAATTAACAACGCCACCTCAATAAATTTATAAACTAGCCATTAGTTCTAATTTAAACATATTTAGAATTTGTGATACTTACCTATTCCTTTCAAGTAGTTAATTAAACATTAATAGATACAACCGAATGAGTCAGCTTGTCTTAACAGCTCTAAACATTCACCTAGCCTTGAGGCAAACATTGTCTTACAGCCTCCAAAATAGACCCATTCTTTATTTAAGAAATACAGTTCGCTCTACTACCATGTATAATGTAATAAAACACACTTTCGCCCTGAACTATTATAGTTAAAGTACGAGGACGCTTGCGTCCGAGTGCTTTAACGTTATAATAGTTCAGGGCGAAAGTGTGCTTATTACACTATAAATGGTGGTAGAGCGAACTGTATTTCTTTTCTAAGATGACAAATTTAATACTTTCTAAGGATAATTACGATTAATTTAAGGCAGAAAACAAACAATGGTGTCGGTAACCTAAATTATGAATCCTCGCACAGGGCTAACTGGCGAGCTGTTCTATTGATGAGTGTGCCCCCCTACGTTAAGACGAACGTTCCTAGAAAAAAACAAATGATAACAGTTTGATGACGGTTTACGTTCGGATTAAATATCTTCTCTGAATTATTTTAATTGCATCTGTCATTAACGTAAACCATATGGGGCAATATGAACGTCGCATTTCTACTACCAACGTAAGTTTAGATCAGTACATCCAGTTGAAGCTGAGTAGTCAAGCGACATTCCACGATTGCATTGTGGGAATGTAAACATTGCGAACGTTACCGTGTCGCTGAAAACTTGTGGGTCGAATTGACACATTTTAACCGTCGTAAAACATAAACTTAATGTTTCCACCAGTGATGTTAGCTGCGTGAAGCAACTGCAAACCAAGAAACGGGATGCAACGGAGTAGTGTATTGTAGGAGGCCGTACGAGGCGATGACATCTGACATGCATCGTGACGTCGCTTACACTGTGACGTAATGTAAAATGGTTCGATTACGAGGGGGCACACTAGAATGGCGCAGTGACAGGATAACGTCATTCAATTGTTACGTCATCAAAAAACTATACCTTTATTGTCTGATAATGTATTTTCTTTTCGATTGTTCTAACCGCTAGGCATCTTAGAAACCTCATTCTTGAGACTTTATTAAACATTGTTCCCACCTCTGACGCTTAGCTGGTCTCACTATTTAATCATTCAGGCTTTAGGCTCATGCAAAAATATATATTTGGTCGCTTTGGAGTCAACCTAAGAAGGAAAACAATTTGCATTGATGTCTTATTTCAGCAGGATGAGTCGACTCACCGCCCTGGTGATGCTGGTTCTGTACCAGGTCAGCCCAGCACGACCCCAAACAGTTAGAACCACCCATGGCCTTATAACAGGAAGGCGTCTGACTTTCCTCAATAAACAAGTTGATGCTTTCTACGGCATCCCCTATGCAGAACCCCCTCTCAACAATCTGCGATTCGACTACCCCCCACCCTGTTGATCCATGGGCTCCGTATACCAAGAGTGTTCAGGTTCCACCTCCCTCCTGTCTCCAGCCGTCCAGTATGCCCCCGTCTGCAGAACCCTACAGAAGGAACCCGTCTGGCTACAGCGAGGATTGCCTATACCTTAACGTATGGGCGCCTGTAAATGGTCAAAGAGACATGGCAGTTCTTGTATTTATACATGGTGGTGGTTTCCTACAAGGCAGCGCCCAACTACCTCTTTACACAGGACAATATTTGGCGGGCGAGAAGGACGTCCTCGTTGTGTCCATTAACTATAGACTTGGGGCTCTGGGGTTCCTCTTTCTTGGTCCGAACAGCATCCCGGGCAATATGGGCCTCATGGACCAATGGTTGGCTCTGGAATGGATCCGAAACAATGTGGACTACTTTGGAGGGGACCCTGAAAAGATAACCATATTTGGAGAAAGTACTGGAGCCGCTTCTGTAGGATTTCATCTGCTGTCTCCGTTTTCTCGAAACCTGTTCAACAACGCAATTCTTCAAAGTGGAACACCGATATCCGACTGGACGTACAATGACGCGGCGACTGCAAGGGGCTACAGCGTCAAGTTAGGGGGATTGTTGGGTTGTCCTTTAATCAATGACATGGCGCTCATGCACTGCCTAGTGGGGACTGATCCTAAAATTCTGACCAACATCCAGCAAGCAGTAGCAACGGATGGTATGGCGTTTCTCCCTGTCGTTGATGGAGTATTCCTTCCAGATGATCCCATGAAGTTGATGGCTGCAGGTAATTTCAAGAACGCCTGTCTGCTGCATGGGGTTGTAGAAGATGAAGCAACTCTTCTTCTTCTTCCATCAATACAGCATATCCTCAACTCATCCACGCCAACATCCAATGTCACTTTAACAAAGGAACAATATGAAGAATTGTTGACAAACTACCTGGGAAGCGTGAACAAACATACACGAACTGATATAGTATCCCTTTTCTACGAGACTGGACAGGAGCCAGGTTCAAAGGCAGACTATGTTGAACTGTTGAATCAGATACGTAGCGACATTGACTTCAAGTGTCCGGCAATAGAATTTGGCAGTTATTTCGCCCGTGATAACCCCACCTACCTCTACAGCGTCGGGCACCGTCTGTCAACCAATCCGTTCCCGAGATGGGTAGGCGCTGCACACTCCTACGAAATGGAACTGGTGTTTGGTCTTCCACTGAACGCGTCGTATGAATTTACACCTGATGAGCAGGAACTGAGTTTTAATATCATGACATACTGGAGCAATTTCGCCAAAACTGGGTGAGAAGTTTTGTTCCTTTGTTCCACGTTTTGTTAAGGACTTTCCTTCACTTGCCGCATTTTTGTTCTTGGGATCAAGATTAATCTTTGGGTTTCAAAAGTGGAAGATGTTCATGACATGCGACCTACTGGTGATTAAGTGAGTGAGTGAGCGGGTGTGTGAGTGTGTGTGTGTGAGAGAGAGAGAGAGAGAGTGAGTGAGTGAGAGTGAGTTCGTGCGTGCGTGAGTGAGTGAGTGAGTGAGTGAGTGAGTGAAGGAGTGAGTGAAGGAGTAGGTGTGGGAGTTGGATTTACTCTGTTTTGAACATTATTCCAGGTTAGATGTGAGGAAACCCCTTACAAATTCTTAACTGAAGCACAGGGTCCATAAATCCAGTGCATTACATTCGTGCTGTAGCAATATAAAAAGGGAAAGATGAGGTAGTTTGGTAGGAAGGTGTTGCGGTGTAACTACACCCTGCCACATTTTCTCGTTGCTTTGTTACAGTAGTTCACCATATAATCCTGTATTTTTCCAGTCACATCTTGGCTTGCCTTTGCATGTGTTTGTGACACCACTGGGACAGGAACCTCTCACATTTTTGCTAACATCTCGTGTCGTTGTAAGCTATTCATGAACACCCTCTTATGACACAATCCAAATCGTACCACGACCGATATTTCTTTTTGTGGAAATGATGTCGTCACTTGTATATACGTTTGCATGTACGTTGGACCGAATGTATTAACAAATATTCCAAAAATGCTTAATATATCTTCTCACGTGCAAGAGGACACACATTACCATATTATCATTGGATATATACCTATATAATTGCATGTACTTTCATCCTGCCTTTATCACAAGAGAATATTTCCATGCAAGTGAGTGTGTTGTAAACACATATTATCATTGGATATATAGAGAATCTCATCCGAGTGTCTTTTGACATCAAATATATCACCACGGCTTGCTGAGGATATTTTTACTTTTATCAACTAGTGTTGATATATTTGATATCAGAAGACACGAGGATGAGATTCTATTTATTATCAAAAATCACTCTTCTTTAGTTTTCAATGAAATATGTACATCTCTGAACAGTACTGGCATTAGACTTGCAGTGCAGCGACGTCATAGCATTGTGACGTCATCAAGTTCATGACGCCATAGCATTGTCAGTGCATAGTACAAAATGTACTGTCAAAACGGTATCTCCAAGGAGATATCGTTTGATCTCACACAAACAATATATGCAGTTTTGGATGATAAATACCTATATAATTTCACTGACTTCCATCCTGCCAAGAGATTATTTCCATGCAAGTGAATATGTTGTAAACACAATGACGCACATATGATAATGTATTTCGAAAAGGAACCCGAACACCCCGGAGCCACTGAACATGGCATGGGCGGCGTACGACAACGTCAACAAGACGTACCTGGCCCTCGACGTCGTCAGTAAACTTGCAATCAAACGAGGACTACGACATCGAGAGTGTGCCTTCATCAACCAGATCCTGCCGTTGTTAGGACCAAACCCAGGTAACAACATCCTGAAGATCCATGTACAGTGTGTAATAAACATATGTTTAGAGGAAACTAGGTCTTCGGGGTCAATGATCTCCATCATTTTAAGTATCCTTTGTCCGCATAGAAGCCTTTTTCCAGTTTTGTTCAACTCCCCATCATAATATTTTCAAGCTTGATTTTGGATACATGCATGCTTGTGATTCAGGAAATACATTGGCCAGGTGTTAGTTTAGTTTCATAACAAACAATACGTTTGAAAATAAGATTGTTGAACATTGTTCTTTTAATTGTGGAACAAATCTTAAGATTGATTAGTAAATATTGTCATACAAATAGTGTTTACTTTAAACAACACATATGCATTATGGTTACATGCATGCTTGTAGTTCGGGAAATATTCGCCACATATGACCTATTCCATGTTATTCAACATCCCCATTATAATATTTCAAGCTTGATTTTGGATACATATATGCTTGTGGTTCGGGAAATACATTGGCCAGGTGTTAGTTTATTTTCATAACGAACTATAAGTTCGTTATAATGAGATTGTTAAAAATTATTCTTTTAATTGTTTCAAAAATTACGATTGATTTGTATCGTAGGTCACTATGAATACTGTCGTACAAATTGTGTTTACCGTAAACGGTAAATATTTATTATGATTACATGCATGCTTGTTGTTCGGGTAATAAGTTTATATTGGCCGGTATTTGATTTAGTTTTATAATGCATTATTTTTTAGTAAAATGATATTGTTGAAAATTGGTGATTTGTATGATAATCCACAATAAACACTGTCATACAATTATGTTTACCGTAAGCAATATATATTGATCATTCAGATGTATCAACATTTGTTTTTACTACAGAGAATACCGAGCCTCAGGTCTCGCCAATAAACTGCCGTCAGCCACAAGACTCCTTCACGGAAACGCCTTCTTTCACAATCGGTAAGTACACGTGTGCTTGAGGTAACTGTTTAGATGTATCGTTTTATGTGCCATGTGTTTGAATTGATGCCATTAATTGTCCATACACTTATACAGCTGTAACGAAATTAGAAACGAACGTCGAAATTGCATGCAAATTGTCGTTAATGTACATTGATTCAACTCACTTTCATTTCCATGGAAACCTATTTTACAATGTTCCATGAATAAACACGAGTGGTAATTTCATGTGGTAGTGAACGCGATCCCTCATGTGAATTGAGACAAGCATAAGGGCATGTGCGTGACGAGAAGGGTTTGCACTGTGGTGATGTGTATATATTCTAATCCACCGATGCTCTTTATATGTAAAAAGAGATATTTGTATTATTTTTGTGAAGTTTTTCGTTGTCCCAGCGTGCCAGCGCCATGTGGGGTGGTGTCTGCTAATCACTATTGTGCTTCGTAAACATTTTCAAGAGGTGACAGGGTTGCCTGAGTGTAGGACATTCCCCCATTAGGACAATTCCCCACTAGGACAATTACCCACGAGGACAATTCCCCACAGGACAGGACATTTCCCAATCTTGACATTTCCCTACACCTGTTTTGTAACCAGTAGGACAACTCCCCACTCATCGTGGTTGACACATGTCATCGGTTCTCAATTGCGCAGATCGATGCTCATGCTGTTGATCACTGGATTGTCTTGTCCAGACTCGATTATTTACAGACCGCTGCCATATAGCTGGAATAGTGCTGAGTGCAGCGTCACCCGATCCCGTTAGTCGCCTCATACGACAAGCAAACACACAAACAAATCCTTTCCTTTTAAAGGATTCAAAAGCTTAACAATCAATATCAAGCAAATTCTAAACTTAGTTGTGACGTTTTTATTCAGATTTAGAAGATACTCAGGCAGGAAGCTATACGCCCACGAACGATCCAGCGACACAAGCGGGGCCAGGAACGACACCACCTGCATGGAGAATCGTTATGCCCTGCGTGCCCGCGGCAGGCCACACAGCAACGCCACTGGCATCTCTATGGCTCGTTGTCATAGTTACAAAACTGTTATGCGTTTCTTGCTAAGTTAGTTAAAAGGGGCTATGCTCTGGTTTGATACTTCCTGTCAGAGACAAGACGTTGGAATTCACGTCAAGTATGATACTGAAACACCTGTATGTATACACCTGAAAACATCTATCGCCATATTTTTAAATATTCAGCATATTTACGCGATAAATTGCAAACAACAATGGAGGACGAAAATTTAACTATATTCCAAAATGGTAAATATTGTCCTACCATGACGTCATCTATGGACATACGAGCATTCGCTTGTGCGGATATGACGTCCACAAATTGGAATTCTTTTGGACTTGGAATATGTTTGAGATATAAAACCTAAAAACAGTAATTTTTCATTTTTTATGTTTATTTTAACATTCAAGAAACTTAGAAGAAATACATCATCCGATCCTCAAATGGATCGAATTTGACATGACGTAAGTGCATATTTTTTAGTTATTATTTCGGAAAGGGGTCAATACTTGTAACATGTATTTGCATCCATAAACAGGCCGTATGTAATGTCTCATATGTGAAACAGAATACTAGTGATTGCTGTTCATCGCAAGATAAAACATTTAATTCTTCCTGCAGGGTTATATTGCGAGATCGGCATCCCCCGGTCCCCGGTTATTTCTTTAATGAAACAGCCTTGTTGTAAAACAATCTCATGCAGCATTCCTTTTCAGACAAAGCACAATTGGTTGGTACTCATATTGCTGCTGTTATTTAGGCGTATCATGCCATCCCTATTTGTTTCATCTTTTCCCGTCTGCAATTTTAACCGAAAGAGAACATGCGGGCAAAAACAATAAACAATGTCTAAAAACAAACAAATAATCCGTTGTCCTCATTAGGTAGCATGTTAAAAGAAATCTAATTTTGATCACTTATTCCAGTGTGTCAATAAAATTGTTTAGTAGATCGAGTCATTTTGGCTTCGAAATGGAATCTTTACTATAATTTACAGTGAAAGCAAGACCTGTGTTTTAATGAGCGGGAATGGTAGCAATACCGTCTATATCACACCGGGACATAAATTCCCACAACAGCTGGGACACATCAGATAACAATATGAGCAAAGATAAAACTTCAGAGCCGTTTGGGTATGGGAACCACTGAACAAAATACGCACAGCCTTACTTTGACGGACCTTGTCCGAGCGTCCTTGGAATTGGTGATAACTCTGACGTTTGTAAAACAATATGTAATTTTGTGGCGATATTTCCTAAGCCTGCGTGCAATACACAGAGATTCCAAATCCGCGAAACAAGAAAAATATATTATGGCGGAGCTTAACGTTTTTCAGGTGTATATATCTGGGTATTCTGGCATAGGAGCATCTGCCAAAAACATCCGTTCGACAAAGTAAACGATTTGAATCAGATTTGGGGGAAACATCCAATCGGACCGAGCATAGTCCTTCAGGACAAAAGGCTTTAAAGGACAAGGTGGAATAAGGACTCTTTTGACCACTGAACATGTAAAAGTTGCAGATAAAATGCTGTGCTATAATATCAGGTTAAATATTAATTGTTGTTCACATATCTACCTTATTACCCGCGAAGATCCGCGTTATACTTGATCTTCAGCAGCCCATGCTTGTCAGGATCGGGTGGTGAAGCTCGCTGGCTCGGTTGACACATGTCATCGTATCAGTCGATGCTCATGATGTTGACCACTCTATTATATCCACGATGTACCCTTATATGTTAATATGCGCTGACAAGTGCTGATCGTTTATTCTGTAACTATAAGCTCAGTCTGAGAAGACCATCAGGTTGTTGTTGACGTTCTGTTACAGGTAATGTGTCACTTTGACATGACCCTGGTCATTCTATCCTACGTGATCAAAAATCAAATCATGGCTGTTGCGTTATGACGCATGTTTCATTATGGGTTTGTTTCCAGCCGAAAGCATTCTGACATTATTTTGTGTATATCCTTTAAAGTTGTAGTTTGTATATTTTAGGTTCTATTTTGTTGGGTTTTTCATCTTTTTAGAGTGGGATGGTTTTGAGTGGGTTAGATTACACTTATCCCGTAGTGTCCTTACATAAAACAGCTATGTGTAAATTCAAATGATAATAATTGCTTTTTACATTTTGAAATACATCATTTGGTGAAAAGGGATGAGGTGGGATTAAGACGATTAAATCTAAACATTCAAGCGTCCATGCACTATGCAACCTTGGCAATTAAGCTGAAAAACAGCTAATATAAGTTCTATGTGACATATATCCTATGGTTAGTCAATGCTTAATGTTTCTTTAAAATGTTTATGAGCGAGCCGATTGCATATTGAGTTAAGTTACAGAATGATGCATTCTCCCAGGGATCTGTTGATTGGTCTTGAAGCCAACTGTACTCATGAAGGAATACTTCACATGTTATATAACTGCATTCACTTTTCTCTTTCACGAATTATTTTCACAAGTCAATAAACTTCCTATTGCCAAATTTTCTCGAATTATTATCTTTCTTGACCATCTCGCCAAGTCTTACGTACATCCCGTAGGATATCGTTCGTAAGTATGTTTGATGAAACTATTGTTTATTTCAATTGTAACCGCATTGCTGCGATTATCGCATCCCCTCACTCCCCTGGAGCTTGTCAGGGATCATGATGAAAGAAAGGAATCACATGCGTACTTAAAACCTCTTGAAGCTTGTCAAGAATCGTGATGAAAGAAAGGAATCACATGCGTACTTAAAACCTCTTGAAGCTTGTCAAGAATCGTGATGAATTAAAGAACAGGTATTCCAGTAGCATTTAAATCCTCTTGAAGCTTGTCAAGGATCATGATGAAAGAAAGGAATCACATGCGTACTTAAAACCTCTTGAAGCTTGTCAAGAATCGTGATGAATTATAGACAGGTATTCCAGTAGCATTCAAATCCTCTTGAAGCTTGTCAAGGATCTTGATGAAAGACAGGAATTCTGGTAGTATTTAAATCATACCAAGTTTGGGACAAAGCCTTGATGTTGATGTTTGTTGAACGTCTGACGAAGGATGTCACCAAAGTTGAAAACTTTCCCCAAATTTCACATCTGAAACTTTTGAGACACTTAATGTAACGGACGTTTATCCTGGATGAAACAGTGAGCTACTGGATGCGGTGAATCACTATCTTCTCCCTCGTTATTGCCAAATTGGTTGACCTTGTTCAGATGGAGTATTACATAACAATGTACATGACAGAGCAGTGCACAAGTTGTATGCTTCTCTCGAGGGTAATACTGACCTGATGTACCATCTTTGTAGCAGTGTTACCAGAGCCGGTAGGCGAGGGATGATCCTGCTACAAAGATGCGTACATCAGACCGTATTACCCGAGGGAGATGTTTACAGCGTATTTATCTTACCGCCATGTTAAATGTACAAAATATCATTTTATTCTATTTTGAAGATCGATAAGCTCGCTACTGGTGACATGTGAAGAAAATGGCGTCTACCTCTCGAATGAATTAAAATCAGTGAAACATATTCTGACAAGGTTAGCACTGCTATAAAAATGGTTAATCGTGTTTAAGTTGAGTAAGCAAACGATGCAATGTATAAAATAGTTTGTATAAAGCAGTGACAGTCGGTAAAACAAATGTGTACCTAGTGAACTCAAAAACAGCTGATCGAACGGTTTTCGAACTCCGTGCACTGCATGCATCATATTACGATTGTTAGCGATACTGCTTCTCGGTGGAGAGATTGGTAGTTACCGTGGCAGCGGGTAATATAATTTCAAGTTGTCAGCCTCCTGGCTGGGGTGACACGGAAAGTTGTTAAAGCGTCATTGACCAATGAAATTAAAGTATTTTACATGGTGGTAAGATAAACAGTGTGGTCCCCGGAAATAGATTGTGTGATTGTGTTAAGGTGAAACTATATTAATTCTAATTCAAAGGAAATCTGAGTAATATCAAATGATGCCAAGTAAAACACAAAATAAAAGAAATCACTGATGCCTACAATAAATAATATATTTTTTATTCTACTAATGTCAAATAGTACTTCATCAATGCTGAACGGGTGAAGAGCCACATTAGAACGTTCGTCAGCAACCAATGCCAATAAACAGATGACTGATGGATCTGGGGCTTCATGACTTGTTTGATGCATTTCCTCGTTTTCCTAATGCATAAATCAATGTTCATAATGCTATTCTCTAGAAAGCCGTATATATTGTGTGCAAAGGGGCTGTTGATGAGCATAGACTTTGTGAAGCACACTTGTCCCACCTTTTGTGACGAAGAAGATATATTAAGAGGGACTCCGATCCCCACCTCACCCTCTGTGCAGATGAGTTGAGTTGAGCTGAGTTGGGTTTTACGTCACATCGGCATTATTCCAGCCATATAGTTACGAGATCAAGTCTGAATTCATATACATTTTAAGTACACAGTATAACTGAGTTTTATTTTGAAAACATATATATTTCATTACATTATTATATAAAAACAGAAAATGTCGTAGCACCAAATTCAAAACAGGCAATTTGTTATTCACAATGCTGTACAGAAGAAGAGGGACTCCTTACATCTCTACCGGTGCAGAAGAGGACTCTTCACCTCACCCTTGTGCAGAAGAAGACGAAACACCAAAAAAACCAAAACAACCCCAAACCCAAATAGTGCTAGCTCATTAAAATACCATACCGCAGTTAAGCATGATTGTAAACCAAAATTCACTGTGTTCTTTAATCTGAATGGTTGATAAACATGATCAAATAGTATTCGATTTCAGGAAATTCGCTGTCTATTAATACAAACAAACATCGCTCACACCATTGTATTGTTACGTCGTCAGCTGAGATGACGTCATTCAAATCATATTGTGACCTAAAGTCCGAATGACATCACAAATGAGCAGTTCCAGATGCTACCATGCGAGACAGCCAAAACGGCCGGCTGATGACATTGCACTGCTGTACTTGAAAAAAATGCCAGTTGCAAATCCCCAGGCGAGAAAGGACCAAAGCGATCGAGCCTTCAGGCCTGAACGTATCGAGGATATTTTTTTAGTTCAAT